GTTTAAAGGCTGTCCCCTCCTCCCCCCCAATTTGTTTCTTCAAGTTTTCATCGCTAGGTTACGATTTCTAATTAGAGCTAAGTATTTCACTTAATATTTAATTTAGACGCCCAGCACATATATCATACCTAGATCAGTCAATCAAGTGTCCCTTGCTGATAATGCTRCATCATTAAGAGTTGTGTTTAATTCAGGAGCAAGCGACTGTACGGCTGCTTCTGCTGAAGAGCAGGTAACTTTCGACTGGCGGGAGCTGCCAGCAGATCCAGAGGTATGGGGGAAAGCAGCTCAGCCCAGCCGGGAGGCGGCTGCGGCTCCCTCACCTCCTAGGAAAGTTTACTGCTTCCCGAGCCGTCATCTCACCGCGAAGGCGAGCTTCATTCCTTTCCTCACTTTTTTTTTAAAAAAAAAAGTAATTAAAATTGTTGGTATTTCACGTTTCCCTTATCCAGCCTCGGTGTTTATGCAAAATAAAGCGTGGGAGGGGTCCCCGGAAGTATAACTTTGAAGCTGGAGCAGTATTTTGGACCAYTAATTAAATACCCCCTCGACTTTTTAAGCCAATCCAAACAACTTAAAAAAAAAAAAAATCACTTGCCACTTGTTTCTTGTCACGACCGGTACAGCACACACCGCATCCACAGGGCTCTGTTACAGGAGCCGGATGGGCTACATCTTACACACCCATCAAATGCGCATTCATTTATCCCGGGAAATCGTGGCTAAAGAAGGAGACAGAGGAAGAAAGAAAGAGGGAAGGAAGCAAGGAAAGAAGGAAGAAGATAGATGTGTTTTCAAAGACAGCATCCGTGCAAATTTGTCAGCGCTTGCCCATGAAGACTGACAAAAATCCAATTAAATCGTTATATTAATAATAAGAAAAGCCTAACAAGACCAACGCGGTGGGTTATCCTTTACCTGCCCCGGGCTCTCCCATTCTCCCCCCCTCGCCTTCCCCCTCGCCGCGGCCGCAGTGCTTCATTTTCCTCTCGCCGTTACCTCGACCGCTACGCCCCAGCCCCGTCTGAACCCCTGCCACCCCCGATAAAAAAAAAATAATCAGCGCTCGCAAGCGTCGACTGAGTCACTCCCGAGTCAGGATTAAGGGGCACTAACTAGGCAGCAGAAAATCGCAGACTCCTGGGAGCGACGATCAAAACAAGCAGTGAAATAAAAGAGCTTCTCTCTCCGCTTCCCTTCCTCACCCCAGAAAAGTCCGCCAGGTTGGCAGCCCGACACACACGCACACAACTTCGTAGGGCTCCCTCCAGAAGAGAGCACCGGCTTTCCCGAGTTGGTTTAGGGGGAGGTTTTTGGGGAGAACAGGAGGGCTGCTCCCCTGCCCTGCAGAGCCACATGTCATTCTAGCGGCTGAAACAATAAATCATGTGGGACCAAGTAAGATTGACTGGAAACGGAGTGCAGGTCCCTCGGCCTGGAGCAGACGGCTATCGTCAGCGCAGGGGGACCCCGCCTCGCCGGCCCCAGACCCCGGGCCCCAGCGCGGGGGTGGGGAAGGGCCGGGGGAGGGGGTGGGGGGAGGCCGCGCACCCCCTGGGCGCTCCCCCGCGGGACCTCCGCCCGCCCGTAACAAACTTACAGGATCCGGAAAGGATTTCCCCAGCCGAGAGGGCAGCCTCTGCCCGGCCTCGTCCGCCGCCGACCG